TCTTCACTAGTCCACCTGATTTTTTCCTTCTTTTCTAGCAATGCGTTAATCTGCGTCTTTGTAAAAATATGCTTTACACGTTTTCCAAATTCTCCGATCTGTGCTGTTTTTTCCTAAATTTGGCTGTTTGGGATTTTAATTTCTGAATTTCCGATACAAATTTCTTTCTAAATATCGTCCACCTTCTTTGTCGCTGAGCAAACATTCTAAAATTTTTCTTATCTCTATTTTTCAATGGTTTATTATAATTTTCTAAGGATATTATTTTGTTCTTCAAATTATCAATACATTCTAGTTTATCTTTACACTTAGGGCATTCAGGAATATTGTCACATAGGGCATTGTCACTTGAAAGTTTTATTTCAAAATCATTCACATTTGATTTATTATTGTCAGCTTCAATTTCGTTCTCAGCCTCAAAATGAATTTTCTTTGGGCTTAATTTGTGTAGTCTTTCAGAAGCATTCTGCATTAGTTTTCTTTTCAAATGTCTCCCATTTCTTGGTGTTATTTCGTTTACTGCACATGATAAATTTAATTTCGGCACAGTATTGCATTTCAACAGTTTCTTTTGCGGCAATCCAAGCAAGCAATTTCTCATGTCATCTTCATAATCACTGCACAGAAAATGTTTGCTGCAAATTCTTGCGTTTTTCAAATCAATAGAATCCTGTCTTCAACATTTATGTATCCATTCTTTCGTCAAAAGCAAATTGTCCTTTGCGAAACCATGAAATACAATATCTCTTCCTTTCATATTTCTGTAAGTGTTACGACACGTTGCTACAGCACAAGAAGCCATATTACATAAAGGATATTTTAAATATAGAACTTAAAAGGAAAACTGACTAAAACTATATATATATACACAAATTATTTTAAATATTTGTATTATTAGAAAACAAATATGTATGATTAAAATTAATTTGGGATATGCGACCTGCAGAAAATCGTCTCGCAACTGAATGAAACTACAGTTTTAAACGTGGAAATCAGATCAGGTGCAATGGAGACACGTCAGATTACTTCCAGTTCACCCCCTCCATGAGGCTCCCGTCGGCGAGGAGTCGAACAAAGGAATGACCTAGCCCTTCTATTTATCCCTGGGCTCTTATGCCCCTAAAACTCAAAAGCTTTCTTTTAAATGGAAATACTTTATTCTCAGAGGTTTTTCTATTTGCTTGTAACTATTTTACTTATTTTAAGTGTTTGTTAAAGTGTTTATAATTATTTTACTTATTCAATCAAAATGGGTTCTTGTCTGACTAATGTGATAGATGTTCACAATGACATACACAGTGGGTATGCAAAGAGCCATATTGCAACCCCAAAATATTTCTTCTGCCAAAAAAAAGGGGTATTATTTTGGTAAGGTCTTTTTGGTTTGCCATATCATCTAATTTCTCTCTTATTAGAAGAGATCACATATGCCTATATTGTTAATGTTTATTCCAATTATTCACTAAATAGTGGATTAACAATTATTATAATTGTCAAGCTAGTGAATATTGGAAGGTAATTGAATATGCATAAAGCTGTTACTATTCACAGTTTTCAAATGAGATTACACTCCGCAAAATTAAATTCTCAGTATGCAGCTGGATATTCAACTACTTTGACTACAACCATGCTAAAAATTCTTTACAGCATCATTATTAGAACAAGATAATGGGAAAACTTGGTATGAAATCCTGTTGCTTTCCATCAAGGTAAAGACAATTTGAGTATGTGATTCATATCACAGCTACAAGCCAGAAAAAACATAAAGAGAAAAACATTTTAATTTATGAAATCTAAGCTTGTGTGTTGTGTAGGATTTAGAGCCTCTTGTGTAAAAGGTTATGAATTATGTGAATGTGTGCTAAAAGTTGTTAATATAAAAAAGTATTATAAGAGATATGAATGCCTCATATTCTGTAAATGTAGTTAATAAGACTATTAGAATATCATTACTATCAAAGAAGTTTTAGCAAGCTGATAGCGAATGTATAGTAAACCCTAGCCAAATGCGAGGGTTATGACATTAACATATCGTGTGTATGCATGTACAATGAAACAATAGCTGCATCAGAAAATTTGTTTATCAGAAAGGCACTGCTCCTATTACCTCTGACATTAAAATAAAGGTGTGTACTATTGTAAAAATGCCAAGAAAAGCATGAATATGATGAGGGCACTGCATTAGTTAGTGAAACAGATTGATGGTCAGCACAAGCACGATGAAAGGGTCCATCATGAAGCATACAGGTCCTGTCTCTCTTTTTATTACATTTGACTGCAAAGCTAATTCCTGGCTGCCATTAGACTTTGTTACCCTAACGTCATACTGTGTAGTTTAATAGAATCACTTATTGTACTTTGCATATATTATTCAGGATGAACAGTCAGCAGTATATCACTGAGATGCTGAAGCCTGTGTGAACACCTAGCATATAATGGTTTAGTAATAAGATATTTATGGTATTGCTTTTCCCAATACTACTTGAATAGTTGGCATATTCTGTGGTTTTCATAGGCCTGCATATTTGCTGGATATTTTGCCAAGTGAAAATAAGTGCATGACTAACATTTCAAATACTACAACAGTTACTACAGATGAAATTTGACAATGCATTGAATATACAACCAAAATTTTAATCCTTCTACTCTGAATATTTTAACAACAAATAAATTCAAAGGTATAACATAATTATTTCTATAATCTTGCAACATATTTTGTGTCATTAATCAAAACATTAAAAAAATATTATCTTTAGTTATGCTACATTGTGACATACATTTAGAAAATTATAGTCTCAAGTTAACAGTAAAATGAAACTAATATTTGATACTGTTGCCTTTTTTCCCCTTAATTTGACTGATTTCAAACATTTATAAATGATGCAAACTTAGTTACACGAAACAAAAAAACAACACACACACACACAAAAAAAAAAAAAAAAAAAAAAAAAAAAAAAGTTCCATTAACAATTAGAACCAATATTACTTACAATATTTAGAATATTTAATGTTAGAAATTGAAATATAACTCATGTTATGGATTGCTTACAAATTTTTACAAGTTTTGGCATTATTTTATGTCATTAATCCTATTTGAATAATCTAGCTTATAGCAGCATCCCTATCACTACGCTGCTTAAAATTTCTGAATTTTCAATAAAACTTTATATGATGAAAACATGTTTGAGTGAATCTAAATTAAAGTACAAATAGAATATTTTTGAAGAGATCCTGAGAAGCTAAAATAAAAATTAAAGAAGCAGTTTATAAAATTTTGAAATTAAAATGCATACATTTCAGTATGCATGCCAAAAGAGTTAATTAGAAAACTATGTATAAATTTCTATAATAAATTTTCACATTTACGATAAAAAGAAATCAGTGGCTTTAGCAACTGATTTTATACAAATATGCCATTGTGTAATGTAACAAAACACTATGAAGAAGGGACTCCCAGACACAGTCTTAGAGAAGCCCATACACAGTTATGATGACCTAACCCCTAGAGGCGATCCAAGAAGGCATAAATTCCTGGTCTCAATGCAGGGAGACAAAACTGCACACAGTCAGGGGTTATGAAATGCAAGTCAAGGCAAGCAGCAGCCAACACAGAAAATGAAGTCGATGTCAAAAACTGTCACCCAGTGTAGACCAAAGGGTACCAAACCCCCAAGGACAACCTTCAATATCTAACCATGTAGTGCCTCCACAATCAAGAGACAGACAAGATAATACTGTTACAGCCCCTGCCTAGCCTGAACCTACCATTGAATAAATGACAGCTCTGCAAAGACTGATTACTTACCTCAGAAATCGAGCCTATCTAGGTACATGTTCTAACTAGAATGCTGGGAGTTGCATCCCCGTCAACCCTTCAGGGGGATATGTAAGAGAACAGAAAACTGGTGAGAAATAAAATTCATACCTCTAACTACCAAATACTAAAAGACAAACTGATGGCAATGAATTATGAACTTTATGTTTGCGTTATCCATTTTCAAAGATTAAATAACTTGATTTAATGAAAGCAGCTAAATGGGCAAAGGTTAAATTTTATACATGAATAAATGGGATTTTTAAAAAAAAGTTTTGAGATCCTATAATTTTTTTCATTTATATATTCTCTGTTACAATTTTTTATGATGTTATTCTGATTACAACATGCAAAGTTGCATATATATATATATATATTAATGATTTTAATTAACTTCGTATATTTATATAATTCATGAAAATGTTTGTTTGCTTTAAAAATAATTCTCACAGAAATCAAAGCAGATTTTTTTTCTTCTTTAACTATGAAAATATTTATTCTAATTTACAGTATTCTTTCTAATTTTTTGATATTCCTGTCTAGTTTCATGTTTTAGTGATGCACTTTAAAAAAGCATTTAAAGCGGCAGCATTTTAAAGCAGCAACAAAAAACAGAGCTTAATATTACCAAACTAAAACTCATGAGAGCTTTAAAAGTATAGTACATCTCCAAACATCAAGACTAACTGTGACTACATCCTATCTGCCTGTTTGAAAAATCTGAACAATTATTTAACTATTTTCTCTAAGTCAAATATATATAGTGAAAATGAAGTTATATTATTTATTTATTGTTTATATTTAATTTAAACCAAAAAATAAAATATAAAAAAGACATTTTTTTGATAAAATTAAACAATAAAATTATTTCTTGTCTGTCTAAATATGCAACCTATTTCTATTTTCATTAAAATAAAATTTAATTAAACAATAAAATTTTTAATTTTATAAGCTCTGAAAATAAATGAATATTTTTTTTAAAGTATTAAAATGAAATAATTTTTTTTTTATTTGCATAAAATGATACACAAAACCACATTTATGAACTAAGCTGTATTAAGTCAGAAAAATATTACTAATGAAACTAACAGATCATCAAAGCTAAAGCAATGTAAGACTTAAAATTTGAACTAGATAGTATGCATTACAATTTAAAACTTTACTTATTATGTATGATTCAACTCACCTTTACAACAAGGTTTTACTAGCTCAAAAACTGGTGGTATTTTCAGATCACAAACAAGTTTTATTTCTTTTTTATTGCAAAACTTGTTGAACTGGTGATTTTGGTATAAGTTGCTAACAGCACGTCCCAAACTGAAGTTGGGGATAAGAATTGAGAAGGTATAATCTAAGGGCTTTGCAACATATTCCACGCCAAGATCTGGGATCTCCAAGATGGTTACAGTTAACAAACATGCAATACCTGTAAATATGGATATAAATGTAGGGGTGTATATATATCAATAGTACATATGCATATGAATATATATATGTATATTAATTTACAAACTCCAATAAAGAATTGAAAAACGAAGTTTGAGTTATATGCAAAGTTTAAAAATACTGAACTCAAAAGCATTAAAAATAATGTGTTTACAATAAGCATTTATTAATCGGCCTACATAATCAGTAAGAATAAAAGCTTTTTCAACTTTATTATTAAACATCACTTTTTCCTTTTTGCCACGTATAACTGAGCAGTAAAATCATAAAACTTTTAAAACAGCATATTTCAAAAATTTTTGATAGAGTGTTAAGTGTCATCATGCATTTTAATATATTTTCCAGTCTTTTCTCATTTATCATATCAATGTTTAATTTTCTTAATAAGGTGACTTACACAATTTTTTTATGAAATATCTTTGCATTTACTTACATTTATCTTTCTTTGCACTTACACCACATAAAATTCAACAGCAATATTACAAAAATATTTAAAAATAACCTATCTTTATGATTCCTGATAGAATGTTAAATGTTGCTATATATATTTTTATACAGTAAAAAGTCTGTAATCCGGACTCATCAGGACTTCAGCGATCCCGGATTAGACGTTTTTCCAGATTATAAATTATCAATTTAAATCTGGTAAGATGGAACTTATACAATTAAAAATATGAAACCGTAATTTATGAAATAAAGAGCAATTATGATCTAAAGGGTATCAAAATTTAGGGGGGGGGGAAAAGCTTAATATTTATTTTTTTACTTTGTTAAACATTTCTTTCAATGTAAGTTGTTTAAGTTGGTTTGTTTTTTGTGCTAATACTTTCTCTTTAATTTTAAGACATAATTTCTTGTTCAGTTATAAAGTTCTTCCACCTTCGGAAGCGGTATTTTCTGGATCTAGAACCTACAGAATTCGCCGTCCGTTAATTGATTGATGATTGGGGCATTGTCGTCGCAATGAAAAACTTCTGTTATATCATCTTCATTTATTACCGCTTCTCCACATTTCTTTACAAAATTCAATAATTGGAAAATTTCACCTTTAGTTTGCGATGTCTGAAAACCTTCAAATTCATGGCTATCATCTTCATCGTCCTCACCATGAAATATGGTAGCTGGCCATAAATTATGCCAAGCATTTTTTAACGAATCTGGAGACATCTCCCAACGTGCATGCGCATGCGTAAAAGCATACAAAGAAAAAGTTTGTGACGGACTTTGTACTGTATTTACTATATTATTTTCTAAAAAATAATGCATAGTGACAACATTTGGTGGAAAGAACATTTTACTTGTGCTTCCATACTTTTTTATGATACTAAATTATTTTTTAAATAATACATGGTGATAATAATTGGTTGCAGTTTCTTTTTTATTTGAAAAGTGATATAGACAAAAGATCGTAGATTGATACCAACAGCACCTTTGGTGCTAATAACTAATATTTAAGATGGAATTAACTTTTGAAAACTTTTTCATATTCAGAAATAATGATTAAAAATGATTCCTCTTTGAGATTCCCCTCTGACATTATATTTAAAAATTATTTCAGCATGCTACTTATCAAAATTTTGATCACAGGTGATTGCCAACACTAGAGTTATCAATGAAAATCTTTTAAAGTGATTTTGAAGAATCCTTTCCCTAAAATATTAAAATTCATAGCACATTTCCTCTGCATTCATTTACATCCATTGATAACTCCTATGTGTATAAGACTCATACAGAGTTCCGCTTGTAAGCATTAGCTGTCATCAGGCTATTATCATAATTTAATGTTCCATCATTCCTATGGGTTGTTTTAGGCATCTTAGGCAGCAGAACATTTCTAAATATTTTTAAGCTCAAGGTAAGAAATTTTGATTTCAACAGCAGCTATGCATAATGAAATATCAAACCTGTATACCAAGGGTGGCCAAACTTCATTAAGAGCCACATGTTGAAATTCAGGAAAAGTTTGCAAGCTACAACTAGATTTTTCAAAAGACACTATTTTTAAGTCCATATTTACACTATTTTTAAAAGCAGTGAACCAATTTTCAAATAAAAAGAAATGTCTGATAATTTCATAAAAAGAAATGAAATAAGTTAATTATTTCATATGCACACTGAGTGATTTTAGTTTACCCTCTTTCATACATATATTTTAAATACATAACAGTCCCACCATTTGCCTGTAAGAGGTATGCTGTGGCCACCGCTGATACATGCCTTACAGCAATCAGTGTAGCTTCCATTATAAGACAGAGAAGATATATTAAAGTTTTCAAAGTTTCTTTGGCATGCTGATAATATCTGATCACACTGCCTGTTTTTACTGGGAGCTATGCATATATTGTAGCATGAATTTGTAATCATTGTGCTAGCTTCAATATTTTATCACTTTTCATATAAGCAAATGACTTTTCCCTCAAATTACAAAAACACTAAAATCAATAACAAAAATATCTATAAATTACTTTTATTTAATGTCTGAGTAAAAGAATAAACAGTATTTATTACTGCTGGCATGATGCAGATTGAAGGAAAATTTTATCCATATCTTTGTCTCATACTTAACACATGTTTAAAAACTCTTTCTGAAAATACGGAAGCCCCACTTTTTTTTTTGGACAATCATTTAGCAATAAGTAAGTCTTTGTTTTCATCTAAGATCAGATAAAAAAATCAACCATCTAATATTGATGCCAAGATCAATATCAAGATGGTCGATTTAAGATCAATATCAGAAAATCAACCATCTGATATTGATGCCAAAATCAATATCAGATGGTTGATTTTGCATACAGTTTTTTTCCTAGCATAAACATTATATCAAGAAGCAAAATGATGCAATCAACTTGACTGTGTATGCCTCATCAAAATATTTAAAATGAGACATTTACTGTAGTAACACTTCAAGCTGCTGATCATGCTTTGATCCATTGGCTGCAGATTCGAAACTGCAATCAGCAGCCAGAAAACATGCTTAATCTAATGTAATTTTTCGATATCAGTGCGTGCAGTTCATTAGCATTAGGCTACAATTTCTTCATCCCACTTTCACATCTCTTCTTCAGAAAGTCCTGACATCATCCCTGCCTTACAATTAACTTTACAGAAAACAGAATAAATTTTCACCCTTTTTAGAGCATCCTAGCTTTTGAAATATTTTGGTCACCAAAAGGCTATAGTGTTCAGTGCTCTTCACACTGCCACAAGGATTGCAGTTTGCACTTTTGACAATTTCCTGGCAATGCACCTTTGGTCTTTAAATTTTAATATTTGATTTAGTAGCATCTTCACTGTAGAGCAATCCAATTTCCTAGGTTTTTAAAACAGCCTGTTTCTTTCTTTTTTTTTTCTTGGCAAGAGACATCATATCAAACTTTTAATCCCATTTCTTGGCATCTAATTTTGAATTGCTTCCTAATTTTCAAAAGAAAAATATTCTTCCACTTGAACCTATCAAACCAGCCATTTGAGGATAAAAAGGCAGTCTCTCCAAAGAGTCCTTTTTTTTTTTCCAAGATCCTTTTATGTTTGGATTTCACAACTTTTTCCTTTTGTTGTATTCAATTTTTTTTCCCATTTGACCACCACTTAGCACGATATCTAATTAGAAACAGAAGTGGCAACCTAATGACATTCATAGCTTCATGAAGAGAATAGCTATTTTATTAAATCCAAAATAAATGCAAAGAATAAAGTCAAATACAGAAATCCATAAATAAAAAATTCATGTGATTATTCAAATGACAGTCATACAGCAATTCATTTTTATTTAAGTTGAGAAAATTCTAAGATAGCTCTTGACATCAAAAAATAAATACATGAAATAGTTTAGAAAGAAATGTGTGATGTTTTGAGCCAGAATGTGCTATGTAAACCTTTGTCTTAAGCACGATATTTCATTGCAGTCTCATTTTAAAGCTTCAGAAATAGTAAACAAAGTTTTAATATGCGTCTTTCAGATTAATTCACAACCATTGTCCTTTTTTTTAAGGGCTTTAATTTAAAAGGGGAGGAGGAACAAAAAATCTCAGAAGAAATGTTGTAAGATCAATATTGATTCTTCTTGTTTATTTACAATGCACAATGTATAATGACTCCAGAAATGACATAAAAAAATTACCACATTCATCGATTGGAAATCAATAGTGAGTGACTGACTAACTGAAAAGTTCAAAAAAAGTTCGTTGCGAGTTATTATCATCATTCAAAGATTAAATTTTAAGTTTTTATTTAATAAATTCAACAAAAATATATCTTAAAAAATTTAATAACATAAAATTCTTTTTCATATAAATAAAATAAGTTTAAAGTTCAGGGCGTTATTGAAATTCAGTTTAAGAATATGCCATTTAATAATATTTTTGTTTGTAGCAAAAAACATTTAAATTGTGAAGATGCAATGCGCCAAGTTTATATCAAACAAAACTCACAGTCAAAAATTTGAAAGAAAGATGAAAAGGAATTCACCTACATAACAATGAAGAAATGTTTGTTTGAGTGAAATATTTTTATTAATTTGAACAGACTTCCATAATTCATTCTGAATTTGGTTTTTAATTTTATAGAATATTTCTTATTTATTTAGCAAAACATGAAGGTATTGACAACATTTACAACGGATTTAGCATATACAAACTATATTAAAAATATACTACAAGTGAAAATCTGCCAGTTTAAAATGTGGGAAGTTCTGTTGCATTTAATAGAACTATTATGAATAATTAAGAAAACATTACACATTGATTGAAGTAATTATCAATAATGCAACATACTCACCAACTAATATATTGAAAAGACTAAGTCGAACATATGCTGTAGATGGTGACAGGAAAAGGAATGTACAGCAGTATACAAATGGTAAAGCTGAGAATCCATGGATAAAGAACAACAAAAACAAACGACCTGTTAAGATATTTAAAAAATAGTATAAATCAAATACACATAATAAACAATGTTAATAAATGCAAAGAGAATAATTCCATTTTCAATAACTGATGACATATATTTCCTATATATTGACATATAACTCTTATATTTCTCAGTTCCAATTGTTTTCAGTTTACATTCATGGTACTACTACATTTATTTAAGCTGGCTTACAATTATTTGAGGTTCTTTCAAAATTCTGTATGATAATGTAAACCTGTAATAGTAAGTGAAGCATCGTATTTTTTAAATTTTTTTTTAAAATTTGAATCATGACTGAAAATGAAACAGATATTCTCTTACCTAAACCAATACCTATATTTTGATCTAAGAGATAAAAATTACATCAAAATGACAAAAGTTGACAAACATGTGCAGAAAATGTAAGGGTAAAAGGACAAGACATACTCAAACTACACAATGTAAGAAAATTAGCTGGTTAGCAGTTTATGATGATAAAGAAAGACTTCCTTTGGCCATCGTTAGCTATAAGTTAAAACTTTAACAATTTCAGTTCTAGTTCTATTTTAAGATAAAAATTTGACAGTGGTCTTGAGTTCAACTAATATCTGGTTCTAGTACTTCTAAATATTTCGAGTGAAATTGTAATGTTAGGGAGGGTGCTTTGGTCCAGAGCTCCAAATGAAGCTTTAAATAAGACAAATTACACTATACAACTGAATTGCAACAGTGTACAACAAATACTGTTAACAGAAAACATAATCCCTGCATTTTATTTAGCAGTTATTAAAACTGATATTGTTACTGTATATAGAATGAACAACTCAATTTCCCTGGGAAAAGCAAAATGCATGAGTAAACTAACAGCTAAAGAAGAAATTTCTCCCTGTCAAAATTTCAAACCCACAAGGAAGAGGGATTTTTTTTTAGCTATATTCATTTGGACAAATGTCTTTAAATGGAATAGGAGCTAAAATAAAAATGCACTTATACCTCAGTGCAAAAAATATTTACTTTTGCTTTTACCATTCCACTCGACTATGCAGTGGTTAGTGGAATAGAAGCTAAAATAAAAATGCACTTATATCTCAGTGCAAAAAATATTTACTTTTGCTTTTACCATTCCACTCGACTATGCAGTGGTTAGTGGGGGCTGACTGCTAGCCTGAATTACAGAGTGAGGGTTTGAATCTTATGCAACTATATCTTATTTATGTGTCCTTCCAGCTTTTAATGAGCTTAATATCACACTAACCCTAGTGGTGGCTCTATGCAATGTTTTGCTGATGAAACAGCTAAATGACTGATTGGTTCTGCTATTCCTGACAAATGCAATGAGAAGTGAGTTTTCCATCATTTGAAACCTTTTATCCACTGTATCACATGTCATTAATTATGAACTTAATTACTTTTCATCTTTATAATCATTTTACTTTTAAATTTTAATAATTAATTAATTTGATAATTTTCTTTTAATCTTTTACAATATTTTAATTTACTGCTTACTTTATTAATTTATTATTTTTATCCCTTTCTATTTTATTTAATTATTCATTGTTTATATATTATTTTATTTGTTTATTTCTGTTACCATTCTTGATTGCATTCCATAAACTTACAGCATTTCTAATTTTAGAAATTAAGCCCTAAATGTAACAAACTTTTCATATATCAGAATAAAGAACATATCTTCATTAAAATAAGCACATGGAAATATCTGTAAAATTTTATAAAAATGTGATAATAAAAGCAGTAAAATATCAAGTCAATTGATAAATTATATACATGCCTTCATAAAACAAAAGCAAACAGCTTTTAGGGCTGGTATTCAAGAAGGAACCTTTAGTCATTTATAATAGCTCCAGAGGACTGTTTTCATTAAACTTAAGATAATAAAACTCTGTTCCTCTGTAGACAAAAACCCTGAAAAGAGTGTCTCATAGGCACAAGAACCGAAGGGCAGGAAATTTTTGGTTAAACCAATTTTATTGAAGTATTACATACCTAAATGATAAAGCCATGCTTCACAAATACATTAAATGAATGAGCTATGAAAAGCTTTGATAGGCATAAGTAAGCTATTCTGGCACTGAAGAATCAGTCTTTTGCCTATCTAAGTTTAATAAGCAGTGGAGACACGTTTGCAAAACAACAGTTTTTTATTGATTATTAAGCAGAGTTTTGGTTCCCGTAAATTTGAATGTAATAAGCAGTTGAGTTTATTAAACCAGCAAGTTTAATAAGCAATGGATACTGTACTGTCTCTACTCCTTGAAGCTACACCACTTCAGCATAAAAATTTTGCTCTCATCCTTCTTCTTATTGGACAACTTGATGCATCTAGAACTTAAAAATTTTGGATCTTATTGTGATGAGCCTGTTAAAATCTACGACCTAATAATGAGCCTGTTAAAAGACTTTAGCTCCAACTACCCTCTATCGGGCTTTATAATTAATTACTCATTAAACAATTATTGAAATGATACAAAAATTATCATCAATTAATTAAATTAACAAGTTAAATTATCCAGCAATATCTAAAAATACAATAATTTAATTTAAATATTTATAAATTTACACTTCAAAAACATTTTTGTTGGCTGTTTAATTTGATTATAAAATTACAAATTATATCTGAAGAAATCTTTTGTTATTTATTCAAAGTAATCTTAATGTTTAATTAAAAGTAATAGTAAAATTTATTCAAAGTGCAATGGGTATAATGTTTTAAATAACTTTTATTATTCATTTATTTATACATTACCTAATTCCTCTCCTGAACTAAGACCTTCTGTTGAAAAGCCATAAAATATTAGCAACACCAAGCAGCATGGTATTAGGTAATTAAGAAAGTCCCATAAAAAGGATGCAAACCAATATGAGAATAAATTAACACCACTGACTCGTTGCAGATGTTTCGAATTAGAAGAACGTTCCTTAATTATGAAAATAGAAAAGCTAGCAACCAAGAAAGACATTCCAAACATGATATCCTGAGAAATTTGATATGCTTCTGTAGTTTGAATTTGTTGCTGCCTGCCCTAAAAAAGAGGAAGGGGAATCGTAAATAAATAATTGTAAAAATACATATAAATATATCTGAATAAGTAATAATGGTATGAATGAACAAATTTAAAACTGTCGTTTATTAATTAAAAATCGCTTATTGATAGTTTTATTCACATCTCATCTAATAAAAATGCACTTATGCACTTTTCTAGGTGTGAACACTTTTTTTTTTGGGGGGGGGAGGCCCAGAATGCGTCTTTTAATAAAACAAAATAATACATATATAAACACACAATAAAATTTACAAAGAAAATATATAATCATACCATGAATTTTCATGCATTATGCTGCAGAAAATTTAACAGTAATATATATATATAAAGAAACACAATAATAGGTTCACTAATCATTTGATAATTCGAACAGATCTTTATTACTTGTTGATTACTCTATTCAGACACTTCTTATGGCATGGCACAGCAAAATGGGGGCAATTAGCACCCCACAATTTTAAACAAACATTTTTTAAAACAATGGGGAAATATAGACAAGCAAAGAGATGTAGCTTATTCAGGCATAAATAAGCAGCCAAAGAGTGAGTGCATATATCATAAGTGAAGTATTTATAATTTCAGAGCGCTTTGTTCGAGCTTTAAATGATGATTAGATAAAAGCTCACACGAATGCAGATCTCTGTAGGGAACGAGTGATATAAAATGGTGCTGTACGCATCCTTGATAAGGGCATGTATTTCAATTGAAAATTATAAATTTAAATGTCTATTGTCTAACTTTGTTAGATACTTTATATTTTAAATATATATTTTTTCAAATGGTATAGAAAGTTAGAAATGTCAAGTCAATATTTCCTAAGTATTGAAAGGTCTAAATGAAAAAAAAGGGCTTTTAAGTTAGTTTTCAGTGGGGGGACCCACTTTCCTTACTTAAATTTGCAACAGATTAACCATGCACATTTATTTCTAGAAATAATCCAGGTTTAATGCTACTAGATGGGATAGTGGTTAGTGAATCTGAGTGGTGTACCGAAGAGTCTGTGTTAGAATCCCGGAGAAGGTGTAGTTGCTTTTAAATGTATAATGTCTTCGTGACATGGGGGCACTCTAAATTAATGGCAATTCAAAAGTCCTCTTGTGAGGTTTTGGTAGAAGAGGAGAAGGGTGGGAGACTCTCGGACCACCTCAGGGTTCTCTTCCTCAAAATTCGGATGGAAAGTAGAATTTCTCTGAGGCTCTGGTAACCATTCTTCCATGAAATATAGACTCAGAAACAACACCTGAGTTTAATAACCTACAATTTTATTAATTAAATCCCATATATCTATCTATCTATCTATCTATATATATATATATATGCACACACACAAGCAGATAATATAAATGTTTTTTAGAGGAAATATACTGTAAAAAATAAATCAGAACTCACTAGGACATAATATTCATTAAAAATGAGAAAACTTTCACATACTATTTTACTGAAAACTAAAAAAAAAATTACTGTGATCGCACGGCGACGGGCATAGGTTAAAAGATCGGCGGGACCTGCGAGCATACGGTTGGTAATTCCTGACTTACAGTGTTTCTGTTTGTTACATCAATTATTAATTTTTCTTTAATTATCAAGAATGGCTGAAATGTTTTGGAGAATTCTAGATGGAGCGAAGAGAAGGACTTTAAATATGTAGGTTGGGGCAAAAGTCATGGCAACTACTTTTTTTCTTGAAGATACCAGTCCGGTTGAAAAACATGACATATATAGACAAAAGGACAAGGTCTTAACTACATGTGTGGACAATGAATAGCACTGAAATATCGTAACACATGAATTTATTACGGTAGTATACAGGGCAATATAGCCTTCACCGTGCAAAAGAATGATAACACAATACACATAAAGTTGACATGACAAACCTGGACCTAAAGACCCTCAATGTAGTCCCCTGCTACTGTCACCACATGCCGCCAATGATGTGGGAGGTGCTGAATACCATCAGCCTCAGCATTTGCCGCACCATGTGTGAATCGGGTCATCTGTTGGTGCACAGCATTAGCAATGTCCTCTCGTGTTGCAAACTGCCTACCACGTATTGGTTCCTTAATCTTAGGAATGAGATCAAAGTCACAGGGCGAAAGGTCAGGAGAGTACAGTGGGTGCTCCAATTCTTCCCATCCCCAACATCGGAGTAGCTGCCGTACACACTCTGCTTTATGTGGTCTTGCATTGTAGTGCAGAATTATCGCACTGTCCACAAGATCCGGACGTTTATCCTGAACACCACATTGTACCTGTCACACCAGGAAGTCCCTGCAGTACTGTGCGGCCACTGTTCTGCCATGAGGAACAAAGTGGCAAACAATGATACCCCTGAAGTCATATATGACGATCACCACCAATTTGACTGGGGAAGGATTCTGACGCTAGCTCGTTACGCTATATCCTGTGGACGGTGCGTTTCTCGATGCTACTTGCCCTCTCTAATTCCAGTAATGCCCATCGTCTGTCTTCATCCATGAGGTGCTCGATGACGGCACGTGCCAAGTCGGTTCGCACACTCCCCGGTCGTCCCAAACGTTGCTCATCACTGTTTGAAACACGTCCTTGCTAAAACTTTCCTACCCACCATGCTACTGTACAATATAATAGGGCATTATTTCCAAGGGCTTCTACTAATTCACTGTGACATTCCATCGCATTTCTCCCTCGGAGAATGGCTATTTTGATGTAAGCGTGCTGCTCAACACGAGTTACTTCCATCTCGCACGGCAATCACCGACTGATTTCAGAGCTCTCGCTACCACAGAGCCATCTGTTGTTCTGCATACACACCATGCCTGCAGAACTTCCACACGACACATATAAGTTTTGTGATCCGTTCACATATCTACAAGAAAAAAATAGTTACCATGACTTTTGCCCCAACCCTCGTATATACCAATGAGGAGTGTGTTTAAAGTGTTTCAGTTTGTTTATTTTTTCTATTTAAATTCGGTTAGAGTAGACAGAAGGGTACCCCTTGTATTATTGTAAAGTTGTTTCATTTATCACCAAGTCAAGGCAGTGAGAAATGCCAAGTTTGTGCAATTCTCTGATGTTTCTTTAAGCAAAAATAGGTCGATGTGTACATGGATACAAGAAATGTGCAATGCCTGTTTATACAATTCTGTGATTTCTTTAAAAGTGAAAATAGGTCAATGTGTACATGGATACCGAGTTCGTGCAATTCTTTGACTTGTTATTTTGTCTTTGTGTAGCGCCGATTTTTAGCGCTAACATCGCTGCTGCACAAAGCCAAAACAAGAAGTCAAAGAATTGCACGAACTCGGTATCCATGCACTGCCCAAAATCGCCAAGGGCTACCTGTAAATATACTTTTACCTTAAATTCAACTTTTAAAGAATTAGCTATTTTTTATTTTTTAGGCCACGGCTTTTTCACAAACATTTATTTCTAAATGAATTTTTTTTTTTATTTGCAATAGGTTAATTTTAATTAATCTGCAGGTAATCTTTATTAACTTCAAATATGATGTCCTGGTAAATGAGAGAGAGATAACTACATATTTTTCAATAATGAAATTTCCTGTGTATCTTTATTTCACACAATGAAGAACACCCATAATAAAATTCTATTCAGAGATTCATATAATATTAAGTAAGTTTATTCAGTTACTTATGTTCAGCTGCCAACTTATGGTTAATGCTAAATAAAAGATTAGCAGTATTACTGTAGCTTATTTAGTTACTAATATCGATTATAGAAACCTCTTAAATTTCATAAAAGAAATTATTGCTTACCTTTTCAGCAAGAGTACGAGGCAAGGGATGATTTACTACTGAAAATGATTGACTGTCATTTATAAAGTATTTTAATATTGTATTATCTACTTCTAATAATGCTATGGCTGGTGAATGGAAGGCTTGGTTATTAAACAGGGTAGTTATGGTAGATTCATTTTTCTTATTCTCAGAATGGAATACAGCTCCAACCATGTTATGCATATTGTACTTTCCAATATCTTGTTTAGCCTCATGTATAAGATGTTGAATTAGACCTTCAGTATCCGCATTCAATTGAACAGTTTTTTCAGGATCATTATATTGTGAAGCAAAAATTTCTCCAAGAATTTTGCTCCTATCATCACTTTTATTCACAGCATATGGTATTTCTGTTCCATGAAAAGCTTGAATACCAAGTTGCAAAGGAGGATCATCATGAGGCTTAGGCAACGATTTCAAAATTAAGAGCGTAAGAATGAGGAAAAATGGTTGAAGAATTAGTTGTGATAAAGTCAGTTTCCAGTTACGATATGAGTGCAAAACACGTTTTTCCAAAAGTGCGAATAATTGCTGAAAAAATAAATAAATTCCAATATTTTTTGATTCAGGCTGATATCCAATACTTTCCAAATCTACATCTCTACCTAAAATAAAAGAAACAAAATAGATATTGATAAATTAATAAAGATAAAATCTAATATAATAAGCTAATAAGGATATACCATCTAATAAATATTAGTAATTCATTTAATTCATTAAGATTAATAATTCATTTATGGATAAAAGCAGCACAGTATTTTTCTTTCTTTACTTTTCTAAACGGCGAAAGTTTATTGAATTTTTTTTGTTTAAAAATGCATATATACAATTAAAAAATACCAGAAATCTCAAACAGCATATCATACTTAAGGCAAAAGTGGACAAGAGCAGTTCACACAGGTTTGAGATGAGCTAGTAACATGGGCCATATGATTTAGCAGTTTGAGACATAATTCATACAAGTTTAAGTGAGTTAGTAACACGGTTCGTATAAGTTTGAGATGAGTTAGGAACACGGTTCATACAAGTTTGAGATGAATTAGTAATATGACATTTGGAAGTTTCAGATTATCTTTGTGTATAGTTTTGCAGATAGAACAGCACTAAGACAAGCTATAAGATTGCGCACATAAGAAAAATCAAATTTGCTATAGAATACACATTTTTTTAACATTTATATGCTTAAAATTTTAGGATTTAAAGCATAGGACAATTGTTACATATTAGTGCAGCAATCTTAAGAGAAATTGCCGAAATTTTCAGAATGTGCCAAATGCTGGAAACAATGCACATAACAATTCTTCAGTCTTAACAAACTAACACTGCCATTTTTTATACGAGTTCCTTTTTATGTGATTTTATGATTTTTATAGGCAAATCATACGAACAAAAAATTATTTATTAGGTAGATCTGTATGTCTTATTTTAAAAACAGTTTTAAAAGTATACTTAGGATTTCCCTGCAATGAAGATAGTGTGGTAAAATTTTACCAGGAACAAAATTTTCTGAGCAAAATCACCGAAGAAAACAAATGCTTTGAATCGTTTTAAAGCAAATGCCATGAAATTTCCATCATAACATAGGTTATGTTAATCGATTAAAACAAAGCAATGTGAGGGCTATCTGACTGTTGAAGGCAGCCTTAGTGTACAATTTTCTTAGGGAAACTGGCTTATATGTATATTACACATGTGGAAAAGTTAAAAACTACCTACGCAGACAGTCTGTGCACCAGGAAGTGAACCTGGACCGAACTAGTGTTCAGCAACTTCACTGCTAGTGAGTCATAATGAAAGAAAAAACTCATTTGTAATTAGGATTATTGAAAAATTTTAGAATAAATAACCAATTAAAATATAAAACAAGCTTTTAATAATTAGTTATACAGTAATTTTTTTTCTTTTTTTGCAAATAATAAATCACCATTCTTTTTCTTCTGTAAAAAATTGCCAAATTTTACCAGGTTATTGTGTTAATAATACATAAGTATCAGATAAGCCGATTATGAGCACTCACATATTGAGATGCAGCAACAATTTCATAACTCAAATATGAATTGCATGCTATCAGAAATTGAATGTGCACTAAGTGATTTTGTACCATATGTTATTGGGGCGGGACAAAAGAAAATGTATACATACACATTAGGAAGATTGCAGTAAAAAACAATAATAAATTTTATTAACACACACGGCTTAAAGTTAGAGTTGCCAATTTTGTTGAGTTGCAATAAAGGGTCCTACAAAATATATTTGCATTATTTCCCTTTAATTATTGTAAATTATTGAAATATAATTTTCGAATTATTGTTCACGTGAATGAACAATCGTTTTAACTTCAAAAACCGTTAAAAAAAGTTTACCTTTAGTAATTTATGCAATAATACACTAACTTATTAAACACAAGATGCATTGTTGGAATAATTAGAATTTAAAAGCAAAAGTTAATTAAAAAAAAGTAGCAAATAATAATAATAATAAAAAAAAAATTTAAAAAAAATAAATTAAAAAAAATTAAACTAAACTTTTAAATTTGTATTTGCTTTGATTTTTAGAAGACTTCAGAAAATGTGCATCACTTTTTATTTTTTCAGCAAATCTTGAACAACTTTCTTGAAAATTAAAATATATAAATCTTTTTCATTTATTTCTAAATTTGACATGACATTAAAAATTCACATCACAGTATGTTGATATTGCAAGAATTGGAAACACTGTTTTTGAAATATTCACACATTTAATAATCAGCACGTTTTAAAATCACATGCCATTTGCTACCTGATGTTTTGGATTTTGTAAAATGGTCATAAATTTGAAGAGATTCAAAGATTTTTAGGTCAAAAGGGCATTAGCCCAGAGAGCTTAGTCTTGAAATGGCATTTTGTGTTGAATCCTTTAAATGCGATGTATCACTTTTTACACTTTGTTGCCAAATATTATCACCCTGTATAATATTTAAAGAAACTAAATAATGACGAATTTGCAGAGAAGAATCTCCATCAATGTACGTGTTTCTCGCAATGAAGAATCTGCATGAATTTATGTATCTTTCTCGAACTGTGAAAAAACAACGGTACTTAAGAGTCATCAAATTTTGAATAACATAGTCCTCCACCTGAACATGGGTAACTGGAAGCTTAAATTTCAAATTTGTTTCATTGTCTATTTCATATTTTGTAAAACTTTAATGAGTTTTCGATTAAAAAACTCAATAATTTCAAAGTGAGCAGTGGCAACACTGTAGGGAATAAAACATTAATGCCAGTATGTGAGACTGTCTATTGGAGATTCTAAAGATATGCTGTTTTTAAATATTTTTAGCCTAAAGGGGTGTTATCCCAAATGCTCTTGAAACATAAGTGTGTCTGTTTATGAAAAAAAAAAAAAAAAAAAAAAAAAAAAAAAAGGGGGGGGGGCTTTCTAATATCTGAAAGCTGTCAAATTTAAATTTTTATTACTTTTTTTGGATTAATGTCACTTTATTTAAAAAGTCCTCCACATTTAAATCCAGCTTTTCTTTTACTTTCAATAACTTCAACAAATTTCGGGTATGTTGGAAATTAATTATTTAACAGACTTAGAAATGACAATTTGTCAAATGTAAAATTTTCATCAGTCTTCTAAACAAGTAATTGCTGAAGGCAGAAATACAAAGTCATCATAATCTTTTGAGATACACATCATATAGTTATTTCAATTGCTGATGAAGTTGAAAGCTAAAAAATTCCTTATCATATTGAGATTTTTAAGCTAATTTAAGTTGGTCAGAATACTGAAAACATCTGCACCAGAAGTTACATTCTTCCTAGCTCTTCAATAACTAAGTTGAATATCACATTAAATGTTTTGAGAACAATAAATATATTTCAATAATCAGTGTAATTTTCATAGCCTTATCATCAGTTAAGAGCAGTTTTAATAATTGTTCAGAACAATATTTTTCCTGCTTAAGAAACAAGAACTTAAGGTTTCGCACAAAATTAAAGTTCTTTCTATGCATGGGTTCAAAAAAAGCCATCTAGTAAGCACATGTTTAAGAGGCCACAATTCTTTTTGTACAAATAAATGAAATGCTTAAAGTGTTTCACATCGCTTTGCTGATAATGAAAAATGGACATTGGCCTGACTTTGCAGAGTACTGAGCTGTGAGTCCCAAAGGCGAGTGAGAACTTACAGTTGGGAAAAGAAGACCAGGCATCTTGCCTATGCAAATACAAAACATCTACAATAAAGCTGTAAAGTTTTGAAGACATGAAAGAACACAAATTTCATAACACACTGTAGAGTACTGTGCATGTTATTAATTAAATAAAGGTCACTAAATAAAATGTTACTAGATAAATGTGACGAAACTTAATGAGAATATTTACTTAAGAATTTGAGCTTAACACAGAAACCTTGATAGAAAACTTGCATTCCAAATGTTATTTTCATTGTGCCACAAGACATTTTTTATTTTGAAATAAGGAACATTTGGCATTTTTTTTAAACTCAAAAAAAAAAAAAAAAAAAAAAAAAAGGAAAGGACAGGAAAGTTGGTTAAGGGACTAAAAAAGGACAGTTGACAGCTCAATTTAGGCATAAATGTAATTAAATTACTATTTTTTAAAAATTAAATGCTGTTTGATTAAATGGATACACGATTACAGCTTTTATAAAAGTTGAAAATATATAAATATTTTTGTAAAGCTACAAACACATAAAATTCACCAGAAAACATGTTTTTGTTGCATGGATAAAAACTAATAGAGAAAATAACATGTAACTGAATATTTTCTTCATCTGAGTTTTAAAGTATTATGATATAAATGCAAAATAAAATAAATAAATACATAGATTTCTCACTATTACTAATTACAAGCTTTAATAAATTGAAATATATTTTCTCACAATAAAATTTAAAAATATATAATAAATACAGTTTGATTACTAAGTAATGTATAAATGCTTGCCATTATTATTTCAGTAATCATATTTGTCATAAAAAGTTCTTTTTCTATATCATGTAACCAAATTAGTGTCATTGGCATTTCGTGTACCATTTTATTAGACAAATAAAAAACAAATAATTAAACTTAACATTATACGAAGAAAATTTGATCTTGTAATTAATGGAAGGAATTATTCTTTTCATTGATTTACATTACTTCATGGAATTTATTTCAATCTATTAGCTAGAAAGCGCTATCAGTCGAAACAGGATTTTACATTGTTTCACTTTTCATTGGAATGTGTTACCATTTAGACAGACACAAGAATATTATTCTTTCACATTTAATCTGTCTGTTATTGATTAACAAAATAAACTTTTTAAAAGCAATGGATGCAGTTCTTAAAAATATTATTTTTTAACTTTTTAATCTGATTTGTTTACATAAAAATGCATTTAATTGATGATATATCTAATTAAAAGCATTAGATATTTTTATAGAATAACATTACATATTTTTTACTTTTTAAATAAATAGAAGCTACTTAATGTTCCGATGTTAGCCTAAGTGCATTTCCTCTAAATAAAATAATTTGCAGTTCCCCATGGGTTATCTCTACTGATAATCTCTAGTGACAAACCATATTACAGTTTAAAAGAGCCCTTACAGGAAATCCTTAAAATTTAAACTCTTTCAGATTTTTTAAAATTGTTCTGTCTTCTTCTAAATAATATTACACTTTCATAATATTTTTTCCCAGTATTATGTATTTAGCTAAGTAAATAATAAAATAAAGCATAATTTACTTTACAAATTCAACTTGAAAATATAGAATAGACAGCACTTTTATTTATATTTTGCAAATAAAATAAGGAACAATTGTCCCACACAGAAATAAATACATTAATGAGAATAGATATTGAAAAGATATTTTGAAACAACAAGATAGATACGAATGAACTGATAATAAAAATTACCAGAAAATGTATCAGGGCTTTCAGAATAAACATGAATCCCACTGTCATCAGGTGAAAATGATTCTTTAGGAACACACTCTTCACCAATATCACCAAGGGTCGATTTCTGGCCCACTCTGATAGAGATAAATTAATTTTACATAATTCTTCATTGAAATATAACATTATTATGTTAAAATTTGTATGTAACAATTCATAAAATTTTTTTTATGATAAAAGAAATTTCACATGAAATCAGAAATAATGAGGATGATATAAGAAATTCTTTGTTGCTTGTTTAGATCATATTCCAATAGAACTAAAAAATCTATTAGGAATAATTTTAAATACTCTTCTGAGTAATCTTGTAGCATGAAAATCTGTTGTTTTTAGTTAGTTGATTATTTCTCAGATGGCACCACCGTAATGCTACATTCAAATTTTGAACATGCAATAAAACGGCAGAAAAACGAAATGACTAAAACAGTAACTAATTTTAGTGCTACAATCAAAAAATAAATACCTAACTAAAAGTGGTAGATTGCATACTACATAATCACCTGTTATGGGAGAAGGAATTGTAATATATGTGATATAAAGAATTATTTTGAGTGGAATAAAATTGACCAAATGGAAGTGAGAAATTAAAATATAAACTTTTACTCAATTTACAATTTAATCCAAGTTTGAGACACAATATTTAGATTTCCAAATAATTCATTCAAACTAAACTAGCAGAAAGCTATAAAATGCTATTTGTTATAAAAATGTGAGGGAAAACTGAAGCGTGTTAAAACATTCAATAAAAAACTGCTACATAAGTTTCTAAAAATAGTACTATGGTACCTTACAAATCTTAGTTACTTTTATCATTTGTTAATGAGTTATATTCATGAAAATTTGTGAAATGATGCTTGTAATATGGTGTATTGGTGTGGTGTATTTAATTATGGCAAAGCACACAAGGGCTATCTGCCTAAGAGGAGGGATGCCTTTCGTGGAGGACTTTCTAAGGGAAACTGGCTCGTATACACGTTACACATGGGGAAAACCACGAAAACACCCATGCAGCCAGCCCGTTCGCGGGATTCGAACCTCGGACCGAACTACCAGTGTTCAGCGACTTTACCGCTCGGCCGCTGGTGGGCCTGCTTGTAATATGAAAAATACCTTATATGGGAAAGGAAACCTTTAAGCTTATCTAGAAGTTCAATATGCATAATACATAAATGTTATACAAGAATGAGATTACGCGAATAAATGAGTTGATCTGTAGTGTCAGCTTATTTACTCCTATTTCAAGTACACAAGCTGATTCTTTTATTTGTTTTTAACATTTACCTTTTTTGGAGAATTCTTTATGTTACATATATATATATAATACATTCCTGAATATTTGATTTTAAATTATATGAATGCCTTTTAATCTGCAGGTTGAAACAGTCAGCTTTCTCTCTCAACGATATACATATATTGAATTAAACTTCAATGCAATGCTAATGGATTTAATATTTTTTTCAGTGTCATGTTTTTCCAAGAAGTTAGAACCAAGCATTCTTCAAAAAATATTTTTTTTTTAGTATAACTTCTTTTTTTAATTTTAAAATTATTATTTTTTTATCCCTGCTAACATATACTGATTTTGATAATGTTTTACAGTTTTAGGAATTAGAAAGTCTTTGTACCTAGTTTTTTTTTTTTTTTTTTATTTTTTTTAAAGTTAAATTACAGCTGTAAATGAAAAGTCAACATATCCATTCCAAGCAGTGGACTTTTCTTAGACTGGTCTGTCCTTAGCTTCACAGCACAGTGCTGCTGTCAGTTGTTGACGATGGTGGTTGTGCTCTTCACACGTCTATGATGTACAAGCAATGAAGTATGATAATTTCCTATGCAGCAACAGATGCACACCCATCGAAATCTACAGCGAAATGCAATCCATGTATGGGTACGTCTCACTTTAGAAAGTGTGAGGTGGTGGTGTTGTGAGTTCACAAAAGGCTGTGAGGATTTGCAAAATAATGAGCATTCAAGGAGGCCACGTTCGTAACATTTCCCGCTTGGATACAATGGTGAAAGCAGATCAGTGTGTACACCTCAAGGACATTTCCTAGGAGCTTGGCATTTCATATGGGAGTGTTTGTGACATTGTCATGGATCCAGAAGTTTTCATCTCGGTGGGTGCCTACGCAGTTAGATGACATGATGAAAAAGGCAACTGAATATTGCTTCATTGAATCATCTGTAATGGTATACCAAACAGGGTGAAAGTTTTCTGGAGCGTCTTGTTAAAAGTGATGAAATGTGAATACTGCATTTCATACCAGAATTGAAGCAGCACAGCATGGTGAGGAAACATCCCTGTTCACCTGTGACAAAAAAATTCTCCTCTATGCCATCTGTTGGGAAAGTGATATTAATGGTCTTCTGAGATCGCTGTATGGACCACTCCTGTTGGATTTTATGCTACAATGTGAAACTGATGATGCTAACAGTTATTGTTCTACACTGTTACATCTGCATGTTGCCATCAGGTGAAAATGCTGAGGGTTGTTTTATGCGGACAGCGTGGATATCCTCCATGACAATGCAAGGCCACACACATGTGGCAATCAGAAACACTGGCAAGCTTTGATTATTTCACTGGGAGAGTCTGGACCACCCACCATACAGTCTGAACCTCACTCCTAGTGATTTGCATGTTTCAGTCCCCTGAAGAAGTTCCTGGAAGGAAAACGATTCATGTGCAATGATGCAGTCAAGACAGCAGTCGACAGTGATTCCACAGTCATCCGGATGAACTATCACAGGGCATCTCGAATTTAGTGCTACGATAGGACAAATGTTTGAACTGGTGTGGGGACTAATAGACAAAAAATAGTGCAAGATATGTACAGTAGTACATATATTTGTAATTACTTGTAATTACCTTATTTCGGCTGATAAAAAAGAGGGGCAAAGACTTTTTGATTCACCCCCATATAATTTTGTTTATTTGCCTGTAACAGTATTAAATGTATGTATTGTATCAATTAGTCTTTATCATCTATCTGCATAATAAGACATATTATTTAGTTGCTAGTAACGGTATCAAATGCATGTATTGGATGGAAAAAGTTCTGCTGATGCACATGCCTAGTAAAAAGTAATTAACAATATACAGTATATGTATATGTACTGAGCAAAGCTTTCCAATCTCATTACTAATCATAAATATTATATAATAATTTTGTTCCAATAGATCTATTGTCTGCTTGCATTTCAGTTGGTTTCAAATACTGTTCCCTCTACTAATTGAAAACAAGTCTCGTAAACTCACTTACAGCACTTATTCCTCATCTGCTCTGATCAAGCATTTTCCAAAGCAAGTGCCTCTACACAAAGATTCTTTTTCTTAGCCTGTGAACATCTTTTACGTGTTAATCACGATGTAGGATGCATCTCATTGAACACCATGCTGGATTGAAGACAATCCAGCAAGAGGCAAGTTCTTTGCACCATTTTTACTTTCAGACACAAGGTCAACCAAGCTGCATATTTCAGTCAAAAAATACCTGGCCATTTTTCATTTCTTTTCAGTCCTGCAAGCACGGTGTTAAAAACAACAACAACAAAAATTAATGACTTTTGCAACGTTACGAGATTTTTCAGTTCCTTCGGAGTCCTGTTTTACGATGAACTCATGAAATGTTGTCATGCGACTATTGTTTACCTAGGTTTCTAAATCACTGAATATTATCTAAATTTCTATTACAATATTAAGGTTCTGAATAAATATCAATTTCACAAGTGAAGATACTACATTTTTTGGCACTATTATATGGGTGAGTTAAGATTATCTTTTATCTAATTTCAGGTTATTAGGCACTTCTCAAGTAAAATCCTAAATATTCTCTTTTTTTTGGGTTATTGTCTCACATAGCAATCCAAAGCTATAAAAATAATTCTCTCTCAGTATAAATAAACAATCATTTCTTAATATCTTGATAATACCCTGTATCACATATTTTCTTACAGGCCACTAGTTTTTTTATCATCGAGTCAAACTATGGCAAAGATTAAAAGAGAAATTATAAATCATGTTGTTTTCTTTGGGGGCAGAAAGATAGGAAAAGATTGAAGATAAAATACTTTTGGAATTTGAAAGAAATTTTAATAACATGTGTTAAGTTAGAATACAGCACCACCTATTGGATAAGTGGAGAAACTCTCACTTGGCCATCTGTGGAGAAACTCTCACTTGGCCATCTGGATTCGGTTTTATTAACATGACAGAGCATGTATTAGATCTGAATAGTTAATTACTGTAAATAAATTAGTTAGTTCTTGTTATACAGTCCACTTATTAGTTTAGAATCAAAGTACATGGTCCGTCGAGCCGGACAAATGAACAAAATGCTGGCATTAGATAGAAACAAAATTCGTTAAAAGAAACGAAACTAGGTTAGAAAATGTATGTGGAATATGTTGAAGTTCGAAGATGAATTCAAATAAAGTAAGAGCCCTTCAAAGCATTCAAATGGATTAGAAACTTAGGAAATAGATATTTCGAAAGCATGATGAAAGATGTCACAGCTATTGACGAAGAAATCGGCGAATGGAAGATAGAATAAGTACTGGAGGTAAGAATTATGGAAATCTATCTCTATCGCACATTCTAAAATGATGAACATTTGTGATTTTGCAGCCTAAAGTCCTCCAAGAATTACCAATTCAAAGTTTTTCTGGTAAATATCAGAATGGAATTAATTTTAAGGCTTCAATTCGAAAACATCATAGCGAATAACACGCAACTGAAGAAGTTCAGAACTCTACTATTTTAAAGGCTGCATTAACTGATGAAGCAAAAAATTGAAATGTGATGATACTTTTTTCTCTTTAAGCTCTTCAGATAGTATGAAAATAAAGAATATTAGTTGAGACGCATATAAGTCAATAATGGATTTATGTACTTTTTAACATTCGAATTGTCTAAAGGAATAAGGGTATAATAGATAATGTTACTAAAACGTTAGGGCTTTGAATGTTTAAATATGAGAAAATAATTATTGGATATTTTGATTAAATATTGTACTTCAGAAACTAGATTTGAAACGTGCAAACAGTTTGAACTAAGCATTAATTGCTAGGAAGTTTT